AATTATATGAATTCTTAATTATATGAGGCGACTAAAAGAACTTAATGGTGGAGAGATGGGCAGCAGCATCCCTGTTAAAACATTTCTAAAGCCTAACTGCAGTTGCCAAACGACCTGCCAAGCGTGACAACTACTATCAAAACTCCCCTTATGGGAAAGGCTTATAGTCAGCAGTCGACCGTTAACGGCTGAAATAATAATAATTTATATGTTGGCGTATTTGTATGTTGGGCCTCTATTTACTACGTATTGTCAACTCGTTGCACTGCATCAATAATGAATGAATGAATTATTATCAGAAAGGACGTTATATGAACGAATAAATCGATTCGACTATAAGAGAGTCTACTGGTGTCCTATAGTACTACAGATCAAAAATCGATTATTTGATTAATTGTTCCGATTTCTTACTAATTTCATTTAGATAGTGTTTTTGTGATAATTTAAAAAAATTCGGTGAATATTTTATAATTTCTATTGTAACGGACTACTTGTCGTAGCATTTTAAAGTAGTGTAATGTAGGTACTGTATCAATTTGGGCAGCTCGTAAACAATTGTAGAAACGCTAAATGAGTCGCGTCGCGAGCTGTGGCTATTGACCGCGGAATAGACATCAACGGCTGTTTACTGCGAGCTTGCCGATTACAACGCTTCTTTATGACACAATTACTGAATATAGACTGCGCATACACAATAATAGAACAATATACCGCTACAGTCGTAAGCTTTCAAATTGAAACTAATATTTATATCTAATATAAATAAATACTTTAGATACGTATATAGTGCATATAAACGTATGTACTGGTATATAGTGGCTATGAAACTGAAACATTTAGTGTATTTATTTATTTATTATTCACTTGAAACATTATCAGAGGGAGATTGTACACCTGTCCCATTCGTGTTTCTAGTAGAAACTGCATCACGGTAGAAAGTTTCTACTAGTCGTGTTTTTTTTTAATGGATGATAATGGAGTGGTAACCCCGCCCGCGCTAACGGTATAGACTGGCGGGGCACCAGTGACGGATTATAGATAAGAATGAAAAAGACAGGTCAGTTAGCCCATCGTAATGAATACACTTGAAATTCATCGCGATCATTTCCAGGGGGTACCACGGGCGGTTGACCTGGTTTGATATATTGATAGCAATAGGGTACTTAGTCTCCATTACTAATAATCCCTTTCCCCAGAGCAGTCGTGTTTGCATGAGTGTGTTTCGGTTTGAAGCCTGGAAAATGACAGTGAATTTACAGGGTACAGACGAATAACACCTAAGTCCTCAGGAATGGCAACGCATGGGGTGTATCATGGACGAAACAGTATACTCTGTTATGTCCATGGTACTGCTCATGTCTATAGGCGACGGTTACTACTTTTCATCAGGTGGGCCGTCAGCTTATTAAAAAAAAATTTATAAGGAGGAGAATGTACCAAACTAAAAGTTATATCTGTCCCTGGGGATTTCACAAAATTTCACAAGTGTATCTGGTTCTGAAGTTCTAAATATTTTATTGAACGTAGGTGCTATTTTGCGGATGTATATGTGTGCGACTGTCAACACGAAGATTGAATCAATTCCTCTTCAATCAATCAATTCGAATTCATTTCCAATCAAATCAATTCTTCAATCTCTAACTGCCATTTCATTCATGCATGTTTTGCCACACGTGTTCATCTCTGAATGAAGGTATCTTAAGACAAATTAATAGGTCGTTGCTCGCAGCCTAGTGTTAACCGTTCGGCTGACTGCGAATTTCTGAAAAAAAAAAACTGCTTATAATGATAGTGGTCAATCTTCGAGTGCGGGCAGTCGCACACATACTAAAGGTAGCGGAATTAAACAAAATAATTCTAATCAAATAACGATTTACAGTTATAGACAGATATTGACTTATTGTGTTCGTGAAATAAAATTGAGTCATATTCAAGTTATGGTGTCAACGTTTACAACATTCAGAATAGGATTTCAATTCCACTTTGTTTATTTAACACATATGACGTATATGTCTGTCTAGTCTACACTGTGATGATACAAAATGCCATTTGCGCCCGGAACACAAATTTGCAAACTCAGTCTTATTCTATGTAGGTAGCTAATTATTATCACAGTGTAGGAACTATGAGTTACTTAGCACCTAGGGAAGACTAATATAATACTGTTTATTATTAGTATTTCATACCAGAGGGAGACTTTGTACAAAAGTAATTTGCTTGGGTACTTCTGTCCCATTCGTGTTTTAACCGTAAAGTAATTGTGTTTGCATGGCTGTTTTTCGGTTTTAAGGGTAAGATATGGCGTGAATTTACAGGGTACAGAGGAATAACACCTGAGTCCTCAGGAATGGCAATGCATGGAGGGTATTATGGGCGAAACAGTATACTCTGTTATGTCCATGGTATTGCTCATGTCTATAGGCGACGGTCACCACTTTTCATCAGGTGGGCTGTCAGCTTGTTTGCCATTCTAAGTTGTACCATAAAAAAAATAGTACAGCAGTGTTATTACTTTATCTATGTTGCTATCCAAATGCACATATTCGTGAGAAAAACATTACCCTTACTTTGTTTATTAGTTAGCTACGTTGAGTTACAAGAGGATAGTCCGCTTATGGAATCAGACATAGCCTTAGCTAGCCCAAGACGCCACAGTGCCATATCAGACGCAGGTGCTGTACGTTTTGGTGTAAACGATGCCTCAGTGCGGCGTCGTGTCGTGTGCTAAATGATGTACGAAACAGCTTCCAGCAGGGGGCCGGCCGCGGCGACCTTGCCGGTGAATACTTATCTTACTCGACCTTACCGTATTGCGCGTCCGTGTCACATAATATAGTATGAATAAAATTATGCTAACCGCGCGTCTCGATTCGCATTGAATTGTCTCGGTTAATAAATATCGAAAGATCACTCATTAATATATTGCTCGTCTCCGGCGCCGTATTAATATATTTATTAAAATATATTACGAGTACATCTCCTTTAAAGTTATCGGTAATCCTCGACACATGTACACGCCGACATATGCCGTTCAGAATGTGGAGTAACTAGTCTGTCTCTTTAGAATCACAAGTCAAATCAACATGTATTTTGCAGTAGGAGGATCTAATGAAGGTCGCCTTTCAGAATTGGCAAGATGTTGCTCGTACATACGTACAATAAAAATTGGTGGAGCGGATCAGCCGAGCCCGTTGGCTTCCGCGGCGCGCACGCACCGGCAGTTTTCAACGTGTACCCATATAACGTGCTACACAGCTCGTGACATTCTCTACATAAATTAGTTGATTACAATTACACCACTTGATTAATAGTTTGAACAATATCCGCAAACATACTTTTCAAATTAAATCCCATCGTTATCTGTAATAAAGCGATGCCCGTGACATGATAACTTTACTGAAGGCTTGGGAGACGTTATTCCATGGAAGTGCTGAATGTGAAGACAGTGACAGTGAGCTGAGAATATGCATACACTAATCATTTAGATAAGATAGATAAAGCATTTTATAGAAAGCTATTTCTGTAATAACACCTATAATAATAAGTTTTTTTATGCAACATAGAATGGCAAACAAGTTAATGGCCCGCCTGATGGAAAGTGGTAACTGTCGCCTATAGACATGAGAATATTACCATGGACATAACAGAGTATACTGTTTTGCCCATGATACCCCTCATGCGTTGTCATGCCAAGTGTTACATTATTCCAAATGGTGACAGAGTAAGATAATGTCATCATTTTTTTCATCTCGAGGATTTCGTAAGAGTCGCCTAAAGGAAGCACCGTACACCGTGCTGGCGAAGGAAAACTATAAACGAAATGCCTAGTCCTCTGGCCAACGTGGTAATAGCTTCTAGTGAACTCCTCTACTGAGGATAGATCGTGCCCAGTAGTGGGACGTTAATGGGCCGTTATGGTATGATGATCTCACTGATTACCTGATCCCACAGAAACAACTCTAAAATTGAATGGGACGAATTGAATGAGAAATTAAATTAATATACTTTTATTATTTGTTAATGTTTTTCTTTCCCTTGAGTAATATTTTTTTTTGTATGTTTCTAATTGAACTGTCAAATCTTAAAATCATTAAACGATATTTTTTAATGTAAGTAGTATATTCATTTATTTTAACATTTATTATATAAGTAGGTAGGTATTATATGTATTTATAGTGTATGTATTTATGTAATATTTTATTATATATTTTAATATTTTATTTAACTATATATTTGTTTATGTATTAATAGTTGTAGCACTTCAGCTGCCCGCTAACGAAATGCTTTCTTACTGTACTGGGTTGACTGGAAGAGATCTCTGTCAGAGATAAGTCCATCCTTGCTCACAACATTTATAAATAGATTATTTTATATGTAACTTATAAGTGCAATGAAGAATATATACTATTTGGTTGCATTTAGGTCGTTCTATTGTTTTGTAACGGATGATAATGGAATAGTTGCCCCGCCTGTGCTAACGGTATACGCTGGCGGGACACCAGTGAGGGATGATAGGTGAGAATGAAAAAGCAGGCCAGTTAGCCAATCGTGATGAATACACCTGAAATTCAGCACGATGGTTTCCAGACCTGACAGGGTATATTGCTAGCAATGGGACTGGTAGTCCGCATTACTAATAATCCCTTCCCACAGATCGTTCTATTGGCAAATGAGTCCACGTGCGGTGTTTATAAAAATATTACAAACATGGATAATATAGAACAATTGAATGTGAAAACTGTACTAAGTTTGCTGAAAAGTCACAATAAGGGATATAATAGTCGATGGCCTATACGGGTGGGTGGTGTTATCGCCTCTTGTTTGATGTTGTAATTATTATTATTGATATTGGGAATAGCCTTTTCTCATATTTAAAAATATTATAAAACACGTTTCAAATTTTGTCTATATGAACTAACTTAGTACATATTTACATGTATTTTAGTTATGGTATATTTACATTGAATACGCGTGTTTTAATGATTACTATTTTGTTACAGACGAGAGGGAGGATGTCCAAAAGAAAACCTTTGCCAAGTGGATAAATTCGCAGTTAGTGAAGGTAAGACCCTCCACCTACTATGTCGAACGCAAATAATGCATATAGGATGTAAGAGTGCAAAACAATAGTACATTACTGCAGCGGCCAACAACTGAGGCATTGATGGACGAACGTACAAATGTGGGCCGAGGCGTAGATGAGGCACCATCAATGCCTAGTTGTGGCCAAGGCTTGTATAGTACTTTTCTCAAACAATGCGCGGAAATCAAAAATACAATTTTACTTTTTAAGTTCAATGACGAATAACGAACAATAATAATTTTTCACGCGCCATAATGTTCCTTTGTTTTTTTTTTTCAATAAACAGCTTTCTATTTGCAAGCCAGTTCGAAATTTAAATAAAACCTTTTAATGGTTACCTCCTTGGTAGCCATGTTTCGCAGTAAAAGGTCACTCCATTTTTAAATTACAGGACAGATATGAGTTTACATAGTAATTTATCTGGCCGCAAAACGACAGATATGGATTTTCATACAACTTTTGCCGGCCGCTGCCCGCATGTATCTGGCCAGTACGGCAATTTTGATTTATCTCTAAGAACATTGTCAAAATAATGCTCACAATTCCAAGCATATTTGAGAAAATTATATTTGCATAAAAACCATCACTTGTTTTTACATTTTATTTCCATTACATTAGCTACATCTTGCCTCCTGATATGGAGAATTTTTAAGCTGTCCTCGTAATATATGAATGTCTGAAATGGAATAGAGGACGACGGTTCTACGTAGTCACTGAAACACAAAGTGATAATTTTTTATAATCAATTTTAATTTGAAAAATTCGGAGAATTATGCTGAGATTTAATCTTAGGATCTCCAGGCCGTAGTCAAGGGTTCTACTGAGCTATCATTTGAATAGCTCAATGGATTTAAATGGATTTTAATAGACAGACTGACCATATATCATTTATTAACACACATAATACTTTACGCAGAAATGGTGCAATAAGTAGAAAATGTTTGGATGTTTGTTGTTCTATGGGTAGTAGGTATGAATGTGGTAAACAAATATACATTTGGTTAATTAATACATAGAATATATTTTATAATAAACCATAGTTGGCGTGAAGATAGTAGCAATAAGAGTAGAAAGGATGCGTGGTGATTAATGTGCGGCACGGTGGCCGGCGGCCGGCGGCCGGTGGCCCCCTGTCACATCACATTCAAATTGAGGACAATTATTATAATTAGAGACGTGTCCACTTGCAGTCCACGCTGTACACGAGTACACCACGCTACCACCACGCCGATTGTTGAATGTGCTAACATGTTATACAAACATTTACTATTTTGTTCTGCTTATCCCAATAGGACACAAGCGTGACAGATGTGTATGTATATATTGAAGAAGTTGACAATATTTCGTTGCAGCAGAAAGTAAGCATAGCTATAATAATATAGTTTGGCTACTTGTATTGTATTTCATAAACCGGCGACGAACATGTGTGAGGATACTGGTCTCTAATACGATAATTAAGTAATAAAAATAAATAAATATGCATTAAAGAAGTCTATACTTTTACACTTTGTATAATATTATTAACATCTTTTAATGTTACTTTCAAATAAAAGTAGGAAGAAGCTCGAAAAATATATATTAATATTAATATGTCCGATGACAACTTGTCTGCATGGATCCGTTTCAAATACTTGTGCCATAAAACAGCTTGCTTGTACGCTGTATTTCGTTTGAAAGGTGAGATATGGCAGTAAAAATACTGGCTATTGTTACTTAAAATTAATTAAAATAAATGAAGTATTGTTACGCATGCCATAGAAGTCGGGAATGTGCGCAAGTATGAATGCGCAAGCATTGCTAAGCGGCCACCGCCGCCAACCCCAAAGATGATATCGTCCTCGTCATCGTACAGTGTATCGCATAGTTGACGTTGATTTGTGCTGGTTACAGAATGACAAGCCGCTCGTGACAGACCTGTTCCTGGACCTGCGCGACGGGGAGTGCCTGCTCTCCCTGCTCGAGATACTCACCGCGCAGCAATATGTCAGTTATTTGTAGTATATTTGAAATTGCTGTACATATGATATCATAGAAGAGTCATTATAAATATATATAATATATTTACATTTAACAATAATTGAAGCACCATGTGACGATGCTGTGTGGTCTAAGTATAGAATAAGCCACTCCCTCCATTCCCGTGGGTGTTGTAAGGGGCGACTGAGGGAGGGCGAGGGATGGGCAGCAGCGCCCCTCTCAAAACATCTCCAAAGCCTAACTGCAGTTGCCAGTCGTTGCAACTATTGACAAACCCCTCAAGGGGGAGGCTGATGTTCAGCAGTGGACAGTTAAAGGCTGGTATGATGATGATGAATTACCACGAGAGATTGGAAGTCGATGAAAAGATGGAAATAGTTAAAAAAAAGCAAAATAAAGGACAGTTAAAGAAAAGTAAAAGTAAAGATAGAGAAATATTGACTGTTTGTCAGTCGAAATTTCTCAGGTAGCTGTCATAGTTCTCTGATGTGATAGTCTGCTAAAAGTTTCCATTTGGAAGCCTGGGGGTCAAAGAACCTTTGGTTTTCCGATCGTATTCCATGTGAATTGTATTTGTTGGGAGAATATACACGATAGTGATGCGGTGTGGTCGGTGCAGAAACGCGAGCGGGGCCGCATGCGCGTGCACCACATCAACAACGTGAACACAGCGCTCAACGTGCTCGACGCGAACGGCGTCAAGCTCGTCAACATCAGCAGCAACGACGTCGTCGACGGGAACCCCAAGCTTATACTCGGTACCCTTGCATCCGATCTCGTTTATAAGATATACATTGAAATTCACTATTTATATCTAATGTTAAACAATGACTACCGTGAGTATTGTACTTGTTGTAATTATTTATGTCGGCTTTATTCACGTTTTAAAATTTGAGCCCGATTAGATTTTAACTCAATAAGAGCTCTTATTCACGAGCTTGGTTCATGGCTGTGAAGCAAGCGACAATAAAGTGGCTTTACACATATATAAATACAACTAGTGGCGGCCACCGCGCCTTTTTCAAAGCACTTCCACGCACAACCACTCTTTGGAATCAACTTCCAGCAACAGTATTTCCGAACCGATATGACATCGTAACCATCAAGTAAAGACCATATTCCTTTTAAAAAGCCGGCAGCGCATCTGCAATGCTGTTGGTGTTGTAGGTGATCATGGGCGGCGGTAGTCACTTACCATCAGGTGAGCCGTATGCTCGTTTGCCCCCTGTGTTGTAAAAAAAAACTTAATAATTATTTATAAGTTAAATTGTCAGCGTTTCCAATAGAATTTAAAAGACCTGTAAATTTTTAAACATGGCTTAATGTTATTATTTACGCATTCTAATTATAATTATGTGCAGGTCTAGTATGGAGCATAATCCTGCACTGGCAGGTGCACTACCACCTGAAGGATCTCATGTCAGAACTGCAACAGACCAACCTGGAGAAAACGCTGCTGGCCTGGTGCCGTACGCATACGCAGGTACGGGTTTGTACCGTGCGAGTACCATGTGCGGGTTGCTGTAAGCTAAGGTAGCTTACAGCACACACACTTAGGGAACTGTATATTATGTATTCGAAGTCTCTTTTGGGAAAATATTGGGGTACTAATTGTATTATCTACAACAGCATAACTTCGGTGAACTATGCTCGAGTAGGTACACAGGTACCCATTAAACAAAGTCGTCATGTCGTAATTGTACCTCACTACTGTAACTTGTACTATTAGTAACATATTAGCAGTATTTGTAACATATCTTTAGAAGGCATATACGTTAATATTGTATTGTATTTAATGTTTGTTATATCTATAATATAAAAATGAATCGCTGAATGGTGCTAAGCGCAAATTTCGAACCGATTTGGCTAATTCTTTAGCCATTTAAAAAATTGCCTGAAACAGTCTAAAACAACGCTTTTCTATACTCCCATACAAACTATTATTTTTTGACATAATGTAGTTGTTGACTTATTAACTTTCTTTTTTTATCTTACTAGCTGACCCGGTGTCCGGAATAGCAGAATAAGTATTAAAAAAACTAAAAAATTCAACTCTTAGGCCGTACGAAGTCTGCGGGGTCAGCTAGTATGTTATAGTGCAATATGGTGTTTGTGTTCCTATAAATAAATGAATATCTGGTGTGGGTGGGTGATGCCCCCAGAACTACACGGGCGTGGACGTGAAGAACTTCACGTCGTCGTGGTCGGATGGGCTGGCGTTCAACGCGCTGCTGCACCGCTGGCGGCCGCAGCTGTTCGACTACGCGGCCGTGCTGGCGCGGCCCGCGCCCGCGCGCCTCGACCACGCCTTCGCGCTCGCGCACGCGCACCTCGGCATCGACCGCCTGCTCGACCCCGAAGGTAATGCATCCGTCGCCAGCGGCATACTCGCCTCCATCTCCAGGCGATTGTCCGGGCCAGTGGGACTGCAACACTTACAGTTCGTTTTGACATCTACGTGACGGTTTCCTTAACTTTTTCATATGAACAGTGATGTTTAATCAAACATTTTCGTTTTTTTTTTACTCAGCTGTGTTCTACTAGTATACCGTAACATGTGTCGTTTCAGACGTGAACACCCCGAACCCGGACAAGAAGTCGATAATGACGTACCTGATGTGCCTGTTCCAATCGCTGCCGCACTCGAGCGAGGACGTGGGCGAGGTGGAGAGCGTGCAGTCGGAGGGCAGCACGCCGCTCGCGGAGCCGTCGTCCGACGTGAGTTGGTATTCAGCAGCGGCCGCCCAGCGGCAGCGAGCGGTCGCGGGCGGCCGCTGAGCTGGCGTGTGGTGCGCAGGCGCAGGCGGGCCGCAGCCGGCCGCTGTCGAGCGCCACGTCGGCGTCGGGCGAGCTGGGCGGCTACGGCAGCGCGCTGGAGGAGGCGCTGGCGTGGCTGCTGGACGCCGAGGAGCGGCTGCGCGGCGCGCCGCCGGCCGCCGGCGAGCTGGCGCCGCTGCGCGCGCAGTTCCACGAGCACGAGCGGTTCCTGCTGGAGCTGGCCGAGCAGCAGGCGCGCGTGGGCGGCGTGCTGGAGGAGGGCGCGCGGCTGCTGGCGGAGGGCGGGCTGTCGCGCGAGGAGGCGGCCGAGGTGCGGCTGCAGCTGCGGCTGCTGGGCCAGCGCTGGGAGGCGCTGCGGCTGCGCGCGCTGCGCCGCCAGGCCGACGTGCACGCCGCGCTCATGCGCCAGCAGCAGGCCCACCTCGATGACTTCCGGTATTTACACCACGTGGCTTTGTCGCCCGCTCGACCATTTTTATCTATTTGTAACAGGAAAACCGACGTTTGTTTACGTAGAAATAACGACAAGTTGGCAGTGATGAAGTCCCTTAAGGTTTTCGTCAATATATACAGTGTACAAAATTTGACAGTGTTTGCGTCAAAAAAGAAGAGAATTATTTACTTAATTAAAATTGATTCTTGCTCATCAGTGAATTTACAGGGTACAGAGGAATAACACCTCAGTCCTCAGAGGAAAGACAACGCATGGGGGGTATCATGGGCGAAACAGTATACTCTGTTATGTCCATGGTACTGCTCATGTCTATAAGCGACGGTTACTACTTTCCATCAGGTGGGCCGCCAGCTTGTTTGCCATTCTAAGTTGTATAAAAAAACAGAACTACACATGGCAAATGCCAATGTTCGTATAGCATTATTGACAATATTATCATTGTGTGTATCAAATAATAATTTTGAATGGTGTGTTATTTCTAGATGTTTCCTAGCTACGTGATGTTTTCTTAAGTTGATCCTTAAGCATACAACTGGAGTTATGGTTGTTGTATTATACTGTAATGTATGATTTAATGTATTTGGTGGAGTTCAAGTGAAGTCCAGGTGGTTATTGGTGCAATAATTATCGAATTCTTATAAAATAGACTGCAGTATAATAATATATAAAAAAAAAAATCATATCAGCAGCGGAACGGCAAACTAGAGAAATTTACCTATATCGTTAATAAAAATAATAAATAATGGTGGTCGCTAGTACCACTTTGGAAGTTCTCTAAGAATTATATCTATTTTTTTTATAATTTTTATTCAAATAGACTTGTATACAAGTATTTCTAAATCGTTACTTTCTCAACAGTTACTGTTTTAAATTTCTGTTAACGTATATTTACTACGAGTATGAGTATGTATATGTATATATATATATTTAGTTAAATGTATACTATGGCTGAGATTACGCTGGCTGACTGGGCGCGTGTATCGTCCCGGGCAGGCAGTGGCTGACGCGCACGGAGGACCGCATCTCGCGGCTGGCCGCAGCCGCGCCCGCCGCGCGGCCCGCCGCGCTGGACGCGCTGCGCCGCGACCTCGACCGCCACCAGCCGCTCGTCGACGCGCTCGCCGACTGCGTCGTCGTCGTCGACGACGACGCCGCGCCCGACGACCGTCAGTATCACGCACTCGCACACGCGCACACCTCTCCGTACTGGGGCGGTGCTCGCTGTTAATTTATGTCTATCCCTGGGGACCGTTGATGTCGGAACTTCATTCTGGAAATTTGAAATGAATAGAATGGGAGGGGCGGATAGTCCGAGTGAATGTTCGCGACACGACAAAATGGCACCGCATGAAGGATATCGTGGACGATACATTAATCCACGGTGCCGTTCATGTGTTCGTCGTCGTATGAGGCATCAGCTCGCTTGCTATTTTAAAAGCATAAAAATCAAGGGAGGAGTGTTGCGGCGCAGGCGCGGCGGAGATGGAGGACCAGCTGCGCGCGCTGGGCGAGCGCTGGGCGCACGTGTGGCGCTGGGCGGAGCAGCAGCGCGCGCGCCTGGACGCGCGCCGCGCGCTGCAGCTGCGCCACGACCAGCTGCTGCGCGCCTGCCAGCGGCACGAGCACGCGCTCAAGCAGGTCGGTGTCGCCTCCCTCGCCTCCCGCGCCTCCCGCGCCTCCCGCGCCTCCCGCGCCTCCCGCGCCTCCCGCCCCGCGCTACACAGCACGCTCGCGCCGCAGATGGAGGCCAACCCGGCGAGCGAGGTGGGCGAGGTGCTCGAGCGCATCGTGCAGCTGCAGCGCGTCTCGCACGCGCTCGCCGTGCAGCAGCGCGCCGTCAGCGACCACGCCGAGCGCGCGCTGGCGCTGGCGCGCGACTGCGACGACGGCGGCGGCGGCGGCGGCGGCGGCGGCGGCGACGCCGGCGGCGGCGGCGGCGGCGGCGGCGCGCCGGCCGAGCGCGACGCCACGCTCGCGGAGCTCGCCGAGCGCGCCGAGGCGCTGCATGACCGCCTCGACGCGTTGCGGCTCATCGTCGACGTGCAGGCTTCCAGGGTACCTCAGCTCTTCGCTATAATACACTTTTATTAATACCGGGGCAGTTGTAACGTGTAAAAAAATCTGAGACCTCTTACTGATCTGTTTAATGTACACAGTAACTCGTTTGATAATCTTTTAGAAAATTGTATAGAAAGTACAAGAAATTGTGCATTAATTAGTTTAATTTACCGTATTCCAGATAAAGGATCTCGGTTTCGAATTCGACATTGACACGGTAGAGGAGCCGTCGGCGGAGGCGGAGGCGGGAACGGTTGCAGAGATGGAGAGCGGGGCGGCGGAGGAGAGCCGCACGGTGACGACGACGCTGACGGTGGCGACGTCGCACGACGACGCGCGCTCGTCCAAGAAGATGCGGCTGTCGCCCGAGGCGCACGCCGATGCCGACCGCGCCGATTTCCAGCTCGGCTACAAGGTCTTCGACGCCTGGGCTGACGGCGCGCAGGCCGATTTGGACAAAGTACGCGGTTTCTTTTAAATTTTATCAGCTTTAAAAAGAAAATCCCCATTTAAATAAGAGCAACGAAAATCAATAAATAACATTTATTAAGTTGCTTGCTTCTCGTCCTAGTGTTTACTGGATGGACGGGCTTAGTTTGACGTTACACATAACATTTTTCAGTGCAAGCGGGAGCTAGAAGAGAAGAGCAGCAAGAGGAAAGAAATTCCCCCGGTGCTGGAGCGCATCGAGAAGGAGATCGAGGTGCAACGCGCCGACTTCGCGCACGTCGAGGAGATACAGCGCCGCCTGGCGGACAGCGGCCTGCGAGGCAAGCCACTTCCGTGCAGTCCACCTGATGTAACATTACCCTACGCGACGAATATTTGGACTGATATTAATTCATTGTTACAGAGGAAGCAAAACAACACGCAACGAGCATAAACGAATTGAAGAAGCGCTGGGAAAACATTCAGCAATCATTGCTGGAGATACGAAATACGATGAACCTTTTAGAGGATAAGGAGAACTACTATAAAAATGTAGAAGCTTTTCGCAACGAACTGGACGAGATTCACGCGTGGAAAGACAAGATGCTGACCGACTCGCCCACGAATAACCAGCTGATACATTTGCGGAACAAAATCCGCACAGTGAAGCAGCTCGAGATGAAGCTAAAGGAACTAAACGCCCAGTCGATAATATTGTTGACGAAATCGTTACCGAAACCGCACAAGGACGAAATCGAAACTGACTCGAAACGAATCAACGAAGCGTACGAGGAGCTGCTGACCTACCTCAGCAACAGGGAGGTCGAGTTGAAGCTCGCTCTCAACAAGAAGCCCCGCGCGGAGGACGAGTACAGGGCGCTGCAGGCCAGGATACAGAGCATAGAGAGCGAGGTCGTGGCGGAGCACGCGATGGTGACGTCCCGCGACCGGATGGAGCTCCGACTCGAGGAGCTGAGGAAGCTGCGCCAGGAGTACGAGCGGCTGCAGGCCAGCTACGACGCCGTAGTCGAGCAGCGCCAGGGGGACCGCCACCACAAGGGCAGTCTCCAGGACCTCAACCTGAACAACAGTCTCGAGAACCTGGTCACTCGGTTCGGGGACTCCAAGACGTTGCTCGAGCAGAAGATCGGGAAGTTAGAAAAAGGTAATATAGTAGTATCTTGCAACCATAAATAGACATTCATATACTGAAACATTAGATATTATAAATATTGTAAAAGAAAGTCATTATCAGTTAGTTCATGAAGTGTTACTGCAAATTCGCTTCATACATTATCTAATCCTTACTAATATTATAAACGTGAAATTGAGTTTGTTTGTTACCTTATAGCACCTTAACGACTTAATCAGTCGTTAAGGTGATTAAACCATGAAATTAGGTATTATGTATGGGATAGAGAAGGATATAGAATTTTATCCCGGCTAGTAAATACATCAAGTTCACGCGGACAAAGTCGCGGATAAAAGCCAGTTATCTATAAACTGAACTGTTAATTTATGTTGTCACCAGGTTTAGAGCTATTACAGCGGCTGGAGGAGGAGAGTGCAGCGCTGCAGCGCTGGATGGAGGGCGCGCAGCGGTTCGTCGACGACAACGAGTACGTGCCGCTGGGCGAGCTGCCGCGCCTCGAGGAGCTGCTTCACACCAGCAATGTGCGTGCTGCACCAATTGATCACACGGTTATTCTTTTTCGAGCCTGAGCTGTTTTATAAAAAAGATTATTTAAAAATTGTATTTTATTTGTACTTGCAGAAATTCGACGCAGAAAAAGATAGTTATAGAGAAAAATTGGAGGCAATAGAACAAGTGAAGGAAACGATTTTAGAAGATTGTGACGATACCGTGTCAAAAACGATACAAGCGGATACCAAAGAGTTAAGGAGACAGTTCGAGGCGGTCACGGAGAAGTCGTTCCAGCTGAACGAGAGTCTCCGCCGAGCTCTCGAGAAGACCGAGAGCGTGTTCAGGAAAATCGGCGAAATCGAGGAGTGGCTGCAGGAAATCGAGGAGCAGATTCCCAAGGAGGAGGAGTGCAACATCGGCGACTCGGCCGAGCTGTACCAGATGAAAGTGCGCTTCCAAACTCTCAAGGACAAGTGCGACGACAAGACGCAGGAGTTCAGGAACCTCAACGAGGCCAGTGAGTATAGGCTTCGGTGAAGAGGCATGCGGCTCGGCGCCGAGAGGCGAATGTAGTTTCCTCGCTATACTAGTTTAGGGGAATCCGTAGGTAGTTTTAAAACGTGAGTGGCGTGGTGGGCCGCAGGCAACGACGTGCTGGTGGCGGCGGGCGAGGCGGAGGGCGGCGCGGCGCGGCCGGCGGCGCTGGCGCGGCGCGTGACGCAGCTGAACGCGCGCTGGAGCGGCGTCACGCACGCCGTGTACGAGCGCTACAAGTGAGTGTGGCGTGCGTGCGTGCGTGCGTGCGTGCGTGCGTGCGTGTGTGGCGACGTGTGACCGCGTGCGTGCGTGCGCAGGGTGCTGGCCGAGGCGTGGCTGGAGTCGGGCGAGCTGCGCGCGTGGCTGACGCAGGAGGCGGCGTGGCTGGACGGGCTGCAGCGCCGCCTGCGCCGCTCGCCGGACGCGCCCGCCGACGCCGAGGAGATCGCCGACGAGCTATACGTAATTATGCAAATCTCGCTCACGTTCCCTACCGTTCCACCCGCACCTATACGTATACGAATAAGTGGCTAGTACCTCGTCGCGCTTGACGCTTGTCTACGAGCTACTTGAATGTCTTCTGAGAGGATCCGCAGCGTTTCTTAAATGTCAGTAAACTTGCTTCTATATAAAATGTATTAAACCAAAAGAATTTCATATCATCATATATATCATGAACTTTATTTTTAAATGAATGTTGTTAATATGAACGAATGTTGTACTTAATGTTTATATGGAAGGTTTGTGTCAAATATAGAGATGGGCGTCGGCATTAGATTTTCGTACAAACGCTCGATATTATTCTAGATTTCTTATTGTATTTAGGTATTTACGCTACATCCCTAACGAGCGTCCCTGGTTTAATCCACTAATTAAATCTACTCTTTTAAAAAGTTAAATAAGTGATGTTTCAAGTGTTATACAGGTTGAAATAGAAATGATGAACTTAGAATATTATCTTTGCTATACGTGGAATATACTAGGATAGAAATTTTGAGAATTAAAAATTTTAATTCTGTATACAAATGTACAAGGATGGAGGCTTAGAATAATTAGTCGCTTATCCACCTTATGGATTTTTTTTTTTGGGTTCACAACTTCAGTTTCGACACTTTATTAAAAGGAAGCTTACTATTTCAATTTCAACCTGCGTTGTACGCGCATCGTCGCGCGAATAATACAAACGGGCGCGGGGTGGGAGCAGGACCTCGAGAACTACATCCAGAACCACAGCGACGAGCGGCTGGCGCGCATCCAGGACGTGGGCCGGCAGCTGGCGGACGCGCACATCATGCGCGGCTGGGTGCGCGCCGAGGTGGACGCGGTGACGCGGCGCTGGGCCGAGCTGCGGCAGCAGGTGAGTGTGGCGCGGTGCGGTGTAGAGTGTACTAGTGGCGGGCCGGCGCGTACTGACACTGACTGTACTGACACTGGGCGCAGGCGGCGGCGCACGCGGCGCGGCTGGAGCGCGCGGCGCGCGACGCGGCGCGCTCCGAGGTGTCGGTGGACGGCGTGCAGCAGTGGCTGGACGCGCTGGACGCGCTCGACGCACAGGACGTGCAGGACGTGCTGCCCGCCCAGCGCGCGCGCCTGGCCGCCGAGCTGGCGCAGCAGCGCGCGGCCGAGCGGGCGGCGCGCGCGCAGGTGGCCGCGCACCGCGCCGCCGGCCGCCGCGAGGCCGCCGCGCGCCTCGAGGACAAGCTCGACCTGCTGGCGCGCCGCCTCGCGGCCGCCGAGCGCGCGCTGCAGCCGGCCGCGGCGGGCGCCGGCGAGGCGGCGGCGCGGCTGCAGCGCGCGGCGGCGCGGCTGCGCGACGTGCAGGCGGCGGCCGACGCGCTCGCGCCGCCCGCCGCGCTCGACCCCGACCACGTGCGCCTGCAGCTGCGCCAGTGTCTCGTGAGTGCCACCCGTTCCTATCTCATGTTACCGAGCCTAGTGCGAGTAGTAGTGGGCCGGAGCCTCCCGCGCTCGTTGTTAAATAGTACATCTCGAAACATATTTATGATCAACTAGCGACCCGCGATCTAGCGACGACGATCCACTATCATAAAAACCACGACCACACTGTCAAGAGTGTACGACTGAAAAGAGAGAGCGACCCGCACCGGCTTCGCACGGGTGCAGTGCTAATACTAAATGTACCTACCTACTACAAAATGTCCTTATAAACAACGTTGACAACTTTTTTGACATTAGACAATACAAACACGATAAAGTGCTACTCGACGCGCTATTTATAGGCCCGCACCGCCGGCCGGGCCGGTACCGCCGCATCGCTATGTTCCTGCATTTTAAATCTGTAATATTTTCGGAAATATTTAAATTACGTGCTGTAAAGGGCCATATTGATCTATATTAAATGGACAATATATTTAAGGTACTTAATTGGATAAAAATTAATGCTGTATTGCTTAAAATCACTTTGTAAATAAGCCGTTTTTTCCCGTAAAATGCAAAAAATAAAAAGTGGTTGTTATGGGTTATCCTTATCCATATACCATTTTTTGTTGATCTTTTTAAGGTGTACAATACTGTAGTATATTATTTTGTTTTATCTCGTGGGGTTCAGCCAGCGTTTGCAATGTAAGCGCAAAAAGTATGTTTATTTACGACTTCACATTAGAAACCTCTAAATTTATCAGAGTTTCTCTATAATATTATTTATGTATTATACATATAAACCATCCTCTTGAGTCATCTATCTATTAAAAAAAGTCAGTCTATCTATTAAAAAAACCGCTTGAAAATCCGTTGCGTAGTTTTAAAGTTCTAAGCATACATAGGGACGGACAGACAGCGACAGCGACTTTGTTTTATACTATGTAGTGATGATTACTGTCATCATCATCTGATGATGATCGTCATGTATGTAAAATAATATAGTAATTAAATGAAAACGTCACTTTTTTAAATAAATTAAAAATTAAGTATACAAATTTGTCGATCCAATCCTATGAAGCAAATATGTTTTGAGTCCTATAATATTTTCATAGAATATTTTTTTAAAATCTAACAAATTTTGACAGCCACCAACTTTAATTTTTAATTACTTTCAATTGAATTCTACTTGATTCAATTCGACTATCTTAGTTCAATACTGTTCATCTCTGTCCAACTCTATTCGTCTATGTTCAATTCTGTTCAACTTTAGTAAAATATCTAGATAATTCGATTTTTAATAAAAAATAAAAAAAAAATAACTCGGATGATCTGAAACGATGTATTTGTAATATGGAAGATATTTAAAAACAAAATTGATGTAAGGTTTTAATAGGAGGACTAGAAACTAAAATAATAATCGTGTTTGTCTGTTTGTTTGATGGCACCAAATTGAATGCTGTTTCACTTGTGCTCCTGCAGGACTAACTTAAAAACTGGTATATGTTTTATCTCCATACGCCGTCTGGAAGTGGCCTATTTTATTGATTTTTTCCTAATTCTAAAATTCGCAAGTACCTTGCTACTTGTAATTTAAACGCCCGTTCAAGTAACGTACAAGAAGCTAAACATTTGACAAAGTGGCGGGTGGTTCTATGCCGCGGCATTCTATTGTGTTGCACTATTGTGGTATCAGCATGCGACCGACATGTTACGTAAACACCATTAGCTCTGCCTTGATCACTTCCGGTAATTCGACCTATTTCAACTGATTTATTGAGACCACTATGTTCGTTACCATTGTACAGTGGTCGGCCACTGCGAGCAGATATGCGACGGCAATAGTTTGTGCTCGTTCGCCGCGACCGTCAACCGTATTGCTTTGCTACAGAGATGAATTAGGCGAAGTCACTCGCAGCCGTATTGATGTGCCACGTAATGATACTCGTTTCATAATCGCACTATGTACTGGTTCAACAAGATCGCGTGCGGCCGTCCCTCCCTTGAAAGGATTCTGATCGAGCGCGGCGCTACGTTCCTAACTCTGCTCTCGGATGTGACAGATCGATTTTGCACCAAAGTGGAATAACGATACTTTTATACATGTACAACTTGGTTCGGTCACAGTGAATAGACAAGAGAATGTTACGACATTTTTTGTATTTATTTATTTACTTTAGAAACAAGTAATCGTGTCAATATAATTTTAAATATATTTCTAAATTTAGACTTAGTTTTCTTGCAGTATTACAAGTATAACGAAGCACAATTATTCAACTGTTTATTTAAAATTAAATTTAAGATTTACATTCAGTACATTTATTTATCACTTCAATTACAATCATGTAAATAAAAAATGGAACGGTTCACTTACTTAAGAGGCAAACACAAACAGAATCTAAATGAAGGGAGCGAACAACTCGGAAATAGATCCACTTCCAGTGGATTTTCATTATAAAATTTAAGTTTTTATAAAGCTAGTTTCAACATAACATATTTGAATATTTTTTTTTTGGTTTGTCGGATCGATCAAGGGCTCGACGGCGTATCGCGTAGGGTATATTTCGTAGCTCGCGGTCGATTGCACGCCGTCAAACTGCGGCGCTCGGTCAGGCCGCCACTCGTCGCGTTCCCGCGACTTCCGCCCCCGGCCGCATCTTGCAGTATTCAGGTTTAAAGGCGTAATTTTATGGTCGGCGGCCCGCTGCGAAAATGAGCTGGGACTCGATTTGCCTGGTTCTCTTCCTGAGCGTAGCCGCGTACGCGTGGCTAGCGAGGAGGCGGCCCCCGTCACCGAGCCGCTGTTCGCAGAAACTGTACCGCACGCTGAGCGAGATGAAGGCCGAGGTGGAGACGATAATCAAGAGCGGCAGGAAGATGGTGGAGGAGGGCGCGGTGGAGGAGCCGCGCGCGTTCTCGGCGCAGATCGACGCGCTCAAGGAGCAGTACAACCGGCTCGGCGCCGCCGTCACCGAGGCCAAGGCGCGGCTCGAGGCGGCGCTGGTGCGCGCGCGCGAGCTGCAGGCCGAGCTGCACGCGCTGGCCGCCTGGCTGGACGCGCTCGACGCCGCGCCCGCGCGCCCGCAGGCGCTCGAGCTGGAGATGTCGCGCATGGCGGCGGCGCGCGCGCGCCTGGCCGCCGCGTGCGCCGCGCCCGCCGCCGCGCCCGCCGCCGCCGCCGCCGCCGCCGCCGCCGCCGCGCCGCTCGCCGCGCGCGTCGCCGAGCTCAACGAGCGCTGGGAGCGGCTGCGGCGCCGCGCGCGCCTCGCGCCCTACTCGCACGTGAGTACTCGCCGCACTCTGCCACGGTCCACCGTTGCTCCCTTGTACAGCTTGTAAGTGGCTTCGCCTCCTTGAATCACCATATGTATAGTACGGGATGCACGTAGTCGCTTGACGCCGCCCACGGTGTCTTCCCGGTTGTTTTTTGTCGTAGAACTTGAACGCGTATTGTGTACGTGTGTGAATTAAACGAGTACCCAACTAAACATACTAGCAATTTTCCAGTGTGATGTGATATAACAGAATGATTTTGAGAATGAGCGAAGCATATTGCGACATGCGGAACTGATTCTCTTCGTGTGGTCGCATCCCCGTGTACCTGATCGATATACGTACATTCGATTACGTTTATCTCGCTGCGTCAATGTAAATATATACTAAATGTAAATAAGAAAGGTTTCGGTGTCGGTCTAACTGTGTGTGGTGTGAAAAGATCGCTTGTTGTCTCACAGCATTAAACCATCTCACCCTGCCGCGATCGCCTCGAGCTTTCATTGGACTCACGCTGGCCGGGAATCATGCTTACTCACGCCCATCATTGAACCGGTCCGCAGCCGCTTTGGTGGAATTCATTTCGCATGTGGACGTCGCCGCGATCACTGCAGTATAAGAGAGTGCAGGGCGACGTGGAGTGCACTAACAATGTAAATACAAGGGGCGTCACTTACCTAGCATATAGTCGATGACCGGTTTGTGCTTGCAGACCGCCGACCCCGACGCCGCCCCGGTCGAGTACGAGAACGTGACGGACACTATCAAGAGACGGCTCGAGAGCCCCGTCGACATGCCTGACGCCGAGAAGCCGGAACTCAAAAGGTCTAGGATACCGTTGGCGTTGAAGAGCCCCGTGCCGATTAGGAGGGAGGTTAAAGAGAATGGCAGCAGGAGCCGCGGCTCGTCGCTCGAACGATCCCCCAGCAGGCCGCCCAGTGTCGACAGAGCCACTAGCAGGTCACATAGCGTCGACAGCGCCGCCGACAAGTCGCCCAACGGCGTTGACCGAGCGCAAAGCGTGGACAGCTCGGCCAGCCGTATGTCGGCCGACTCCATCGAGCCTGTACCCGCCGCGCCCGATCACAGCAGTACGTTCAATCTTCTCGAGGATAGTGAACTTTTTACGCAGATATCGGGCAGCGAAGCGAAGGCCACGCAGGAATCTCGAGCCGTGGAATCTAAACCCGTCCCGGAGTCTTGTCACAGGGTCGAGGTGAAGGAGCGCATGATAGTGAAGTCGACGGTCGGGCCCGTGGAGCCCGCGGTGACGTACCCGTCGGCCGTCGAGACCGTGGTAGAGTTCATCCCACAGACCGTCGAGACAGTTGAGATCGTCGATGACACCGAGACCGATTCGGTGACCGAGGAGAACGACCCTGACGACGATGACAGATCGCCCGCGAGCCTCGGATCAGAGCCCACGACGTTCGTCGTAGAAGTGAAGCAGACTGAGCAGCGCATGAAGCCGACGCTCGGCATACTAAAACACAGGAGTAGTAGCGGTGACACTGAGAAGTCGAAGCTTCCGAGGGTGTCGATCGAGATCCCTGACTTGATATCAACTGCTCATGTCGGTCGTCGCGGAGATGTATCGATGAAGACTCCCCCGCCGACGCCAATGGAGGAGAATTGTACCTTACCTTACGGTATGACCGCTGTTCAGAACTCGGTCCAGAGGAAGCTGTGCGGCGATGAGGTGAACGAGTACCTCATCTTAGACGAAGTACCCGGGGACCAGGCAGCTCTGCCTGAGCCGTCTCTCACGGAAGGAACTTTTGCTACCGAGACTAGGAGTGAAATACATAAGGAGCTGCCGGTAGATCTCGAGAAAGTGTCTACTCAGACGTTAAAAGTTGACGCGTCCAACACTACGGCAGTTGTCGACAAAGGAGAGAAGTGTACAAATATTGATGAAGAAGTCATATACTCAGAAGTCGAAGACACTCCTCAGGTAATATTTATGAGATGTTATCGTAGGATTATCTAGGTTTATGTTTCTTTTGACTGATATTCGTTTAAAGCATAGATTGACTTCTCGTCACGCACGAGTTTGTATTTTTGTGAATGCCGTGATGTATGTTGATGTTAGGTGTGAATTTGGCATCGTCTTTTTAAAGTGCTGGGGTTAATTTTTTGGCAGTCGGTGACAAATTATTAGAGTTAAAATATTATAGTATTTCTTTCCGGGATATCGTAGAAGGTGACTAGGCGAATGTCAGCGGTCGGCTGCTGCTTTGCTACAGTGATAATCATCGAGGCTAGGCATCGCGTTTCTTGTCATATGAAGCTGTGTGTCAAAGCTCCCGGTGCGGCGGTGTGAGCGCGCGGCGTGTTACAGGCGGCGGGGGAGGTGCAGGCGGGAGAGGTGCAGGCGGTGGAGGTGCAGGCGGTGGAGGTGCAGGCGGCGGGGGCGGGGGCGGGGGCGGAGGGCGAGCCGCCGCTGCCGCTGGGCGCGTCCACGCCGCTGCGGGAGGAGCGCGCCGTGCACGTGGTGGCCATGTCGCCCAAGCTGCCCGCGCGCGCGCACCACGCCTACACCACAGCCTGTGACGACTTCCTAGCTGTAAGTCTCACCTTGTGTCCTTTCTACTTTCCTATTGTATTACGTGTCGTATTTGTGCGGTCAAAATTTGCTCAGATCAACTGGTGTGGGTAGTTATTTTGTGGATGTGTCAAATCAAATCGATTGTTGAATATTAACGAGGAACAACTCGTTAACATTTTCCAGTAATATTAAAGTATTCTCTTCTAGCTATCTTCGAACGATGTACGAGGTCTGTCCGGAAAGTTCGTATAAAAGTGTTCTGGAATGCGAGAAAGAGGAGTGGGGAGGCCAGGTAAGCGCAGGACCCCTTCCTTATGTCCCTAACAATGCTTCAGTTCTGGTCTGACCGCCGTGCGGTGCGAACTGGCTTGTCACGCCATCTGTGAAGTTACCTCTTAACGAAACCCCGTCGGCATGGAGCCCGCTTCCGTTGAAGAGCAGCGCGTCGTAATCAAGTTTCTCTCGAAACTCGGCAAGAATGGCCGTGAAATTTTTGCCGATCTAATTCGATAAGACATCCGGGGAACCACGAACAAAAAAATCAAGAAAATCCCGCTCAAATGTCAAGACAATGTTGATTGTTTTTTTCGATGTTCGGGGGATTGTCCATCAAGAATTCGTCCCTCCAGGCCAGACAGTTGATGGAAAATTCTACGTCGATGTGCTCAGACGCCTCAAAGCTCGTGTGGCACGAGTTCGTCCAGAATTGGCGCGAGAGGGGCGTTGGATTCTTCACCACGACAATGCCCCTGCCCACACCTCTCTTGTTGTCCGTGAGTTTTTGAGTAAAAATTCCATTACGGTGACCGAACACCCCCTATTCGCCGGATTTGGCCCCGTGTGACTTCTTCTTGTTCCCAAAAACCAAATTGGTACTTCGGGGGCGGCATTTGGGGGACATAAATGAGATAAAAAAAGCTACGACGGGGCAGCTGAGAAACCTACAACCAGAGGACTTTCAAGGAGCCTTCTCACAGTGGAAACGGCGTTGGCACAAGTGCATTATGTCACAGGGGGAGTACTTTGAAGGGGATAAAATTGATTTACCTGAATAATTGTAAAATAAAATTTTTAAAAAACTTTTATACGTACTTTCCGGACAAACCTCGTATATGTAGTCACGAAGTGCCGCTACACGGTATATGTAAGACCGGGGAGTGGTATATAGTGGCATTCGTTTCGCGCAGGGATTTTTAAATTAGCAAAGGCGCGAAATATTTGGTAGTGAAGTTGCTGCTTGTTAGCTGGATCCGAGGTACAGAAGTGGTGTTCGTGTGCAGACGCCGTCGCCGGCGTCGAGCGCGGCGTCGACGCCGACGTCGAGCGCGGCCGCGGTGCTGGCGGACGAGGAGTCGGTGCGGGCGCAGCTGGCGGCGGAGCTGGACGAGCCGCTGCAGCAGTTCATCGCCGAGGCCGAGCAGCTGGCGCGCCGCATGGACGTCATGCTGCTCACCGTGGGCGGCGTGCACAGCGAGCGCGACCCCGGCAAGCGGCTCGAGGTATGCGCCTGAATGTCGCTAACGCGTACTCGCGAGTATCGATTTATAATATTTGTGTAAGGGTAGTAATTATTTAAAGCGCTAATTACTATGATTTTACGATGGTTGCATCCGGGTGCAGATCCTGAAGAACCAGCTGGGCGCGCTGGCGCCGGATGCGGCGGCGCTGATTTCGCGCGGCGACTCGCTCGTGTACGCGAAGCACCGCGACAACCCCCTCCTCGCCGATTACATACAGACGTACTTCCAGGTAATCTTCGCTTGTGATATTCCGCTACCTATGTCTAGAGATCGATATGCACGTGGTTGGTGGTTAAACGACCTATGATTTTTTTGTGTAATTTTTCAATGTTTTAACTCTCGTACTGGACACTCTGTACTTTTAGTGTGTGTTAGTTCGTACAGCGCGCAACTATTTCAGGACAACCTCCGGAACAAGTGGTCGATGGTGATGGGCGAGATCGAGCTGAAGCGCAACCAGGCGATGCAGGCGGAGGACGACATGAAGGAGCTGAGCGAGCTGGTGGAGCGGCTGCAGCGCTGGCTCAAGGAGATCGAGGCGCTGAACGAGGCGCGCGCGATGGAGGCGCTGCGGCGGCAGTTCGGCGCGCACGAGGCGGCCGCCGAGCGCGTGCGCGAGCTGAGCCGCGGGCTGCGCGCGCAGCACGTGGCGCACGCCGAGCGCGCGGCGGCCGACGTGCTGGCCGCCTGGGCGCGCGCCGCGCAGCTCTACGAGGCCGCCATCACGCCGCGCGACCGCCGCCACCCGGTACACGCAAATATGAAATATCAAAATATATGTATTCAAATCTTACCGTGACGCGCGGAATCAGCTGCGTAAAGTCACCGTCACAAGCTTACGAAACCCACTTAGCTAAGAAGCGCCGTTGACCGTGCGGTGTAGATATCCCGCGTCGCGGAGAGCACGGTACATTATAAAATTTTAAATACATTGTGCGGCGTCAATACTAAGAATAATTAACTAAATCTTTGTGGTGCATTTTTGATAAAAAAAATAACCTGCTACCTGATTTAGACTACTCATCTGAATCGGCTGTTTTCGTTTTGACCGACCGCCTCCACCCTTTATTCTTCTACTCAAAGGTTGTCTCGAAGAGGTTGCTTAGTGATAAGATTGTCTTTCGTACTACTTCTCATTAATATTTACTATATTCATTGTTTGCTGGGTGCAACAAAGTATAAACAGATAGATACCTCGGGTAGCATATCTGATTGTGCGGACGTACTGGCGCGCAGGAGGGCGCGGAGCTGGCGGCGCGGTACGCGCGGCTGCGCGAGGCGCTGTCGGCGGCGCGGCAGCTGCTGCGCGCGCCGCCGCTGGCCGGCCGCGACTACGACGAGTTCCCGCTGCAGGAGGACGCGCTCGCGGTCAGTAGGTCCCGTCACCCGTCACCCGTGGTCGCTACCCTACACTAGAGCAGAGCCGGGTGACAGTAGTGGCGTGTTGCAGCGCGCGGAGGCGGCGGCGGCGGCGCTGCGCGCGGGGCTGGACGAGGCGGAGGCGGAGTACGCGTGGCTGCGGCGGCGCGGCGCCGGCGAGGCGCTGGAGCGGCTGCGGCGCGCGCGCGCCCGCCTGCGCGCCGACGTCGCCGCGCTCGACGCCGACCTGCGCGCGCGCCGCGACAGGTGCGCCTTCCGCGGCGTCTTCACCAGCTTCCTGTAGTTACTCTTTCCCACGATTGTTTCGACTTCGTTCGAAAATTTTCTTATTGAGATTAAAGGGCACTTGGCACTCTCCGCCGTGGCGACTCACCTCGTCACAGCTCGCAGAACCCGCGAGGACGACGGTGCGGACAGGGGTGAGGGCGAAGATAGCGGTGACAGGTGACGATGGTGTTGTCGGGGAGTGATTGTATATTGTACAGTTATCGTTGGTCGTAGAGTCGTTCTATTTTTACTGTCTCAACTCCCGCTCGTACTAATGTCTTGACGGGTTCTACGAATTGTAACTTTCAGGACGAGACGAAGTGCTGTGATGTAGAGCACCACGCTTATCAATGTGTCTGTTTGTTTGTGGACCATGAGAAAGTCTTTGGTTCGATTGAGACCATGTGCGGTATTATAATTACTCTAGCGATGTTAGATTGACTATGTATATATATGGAAATGTATGTACAGTTGGTTATTTTTATGGCTGTGCGCGAAGTGTAGGAAGGAAATAGTTTGTTCAGTGGGAAGTTTAACAAAGTAAGGATTTGAAATGCATTGCAGCGAGGCAGGGGTGCAAGTGTTTCGGGATGGTTGGTTGTGGTGGTGTGCGTATGTGGGCGTGTTTACGAGCGGGCGGGGCGGGTGGCGTGCGCAGGTGGCGGCAGTGCCGCGCGCGCTGGGCGGCGCTGTACGCGCAGCTGGAGGCGGGCGGCGCGCGCGCGGCGGCGGCGGCGCGCGCGCTGGCGGCGGCGGACTCGCGGCGCGCGGCGCGGCGGCTGCGCGCGCGGCTGGCGGCGGGCGCGGCGCGCGGCGCGGCGGCGCGCGCGGCGGCGCGCGGCGTGCTGGCGGCGTGCGGCCCGCCGCTGGCGCGCCTCCTGCACGACCAGCTGCGCGCGCTGCACCACCGCACGCTCGCGCTCGCGCTCGCCCTGCGCGCGCTGCAACACCGGTGCGTGCCACTCCACCCCACTCCACTCCACTCCACTCCACTCCACTCCACTCCACTCCGCGCTACACTTGCGTTACCATCTCACTTTCTTATAGCACTGAAATCTTTGTTCTGCGATCGATATCAACTAACTTTATAGTATACTTAAAGTGAAATTAATACAATTTTAATTTGTAACGATTAATAAAACAATAAAATAAGTAAATAAGTAAATTATGAAAGCAAAAGCAAATTTATAGAAGCAATATCTCAGAATCGACCTCGTTATCTCCATATGAGAGTTTCTGCGATGCATTGTTAATAAATACATGCACATAATTTTTTATACATATTTCTTAGTAAAGAATAAAACTGAGTAATTTTTTTTTTTATATTTATACAATAAACAACTATAAATAAAAATAAAGGAATTGTATAACAACAAAAGCATATTCCACATACGTTTAAAATATTAATCGCATAAGAAATAAAATGTAGGAAACTGTCCAATGAAAAAAACACAATTTGAAAATACTGTCTAGAGATCCCAACGAAGTCTCGAATTTCATTTCAAGCATATACATAACTTATATACAAAATGTAACTCTTCCGTTAAAAAAACAGTCGGTCATAATAACTTTAATACTAAATACCTCTGAAACATGTGGCGCAGACTCCAGGAAGAGGGGAAAGATGAGGAGGATGAAGAGGAGGATGAGGAAGAGGAAGAGGGTGAAATGGAGGACGCAAATGTGGAGGAGGCGGAGGCTGCGGCGGCGGCGTGGGCGGCGGGCGCGCGCGCGCAGCTGGCGGCCGTGCGCGGGCTGCTGCACACCACCTGCGCCAACCCGGCCGACCGCACCAGCCTCGCCATCCGCCTCAGCCTCGTCAAGGTCAGTGCGCTCGCACCGCTTGCATGCCTGAGGACCCACTATTCTTACAAAAGATCCGGCTCGAAGTACCATAATTATTACTCATGCTCGTGCATGCTAGCGCTGATAAACGTTGTCAATCATAGTACTGCTAGAGAATGCCATACGGTATTGAACTTTAATGTACAATTGAATTGCGAATATTTTTAGTCGAGAATGACTAGTTCCGCAACCATCCAGGACTCTTTATCGTGAGCGATTATGGGCTTCGGTCCGTATGCGTATATTAAGTATACTATTTGTGCAAATATAATTTTCTAATGATGTATACGTAAATATTCATATAAAATAATCCATCCGTTTGTATCATAATCTGGCTAGAATTTGTACACGTTTTTTCTATATTATTCCGTAGAAGCGGGATAAATCACAGGCGAGCGTTCAACACGCAACAACTTTATTTTGTCACTCTCCTCCAATTATTAATAATAAGTTTACCTACTACAATTTCAACAACAAGCTTTTACCCGCGGCTTTGTCCGCGTGATCTAAACAGAAATCCTTCTCCATCCCGTATAGTACGTGTATACTAAATTTCATAATAATTGGTTAAACCGTTAAGGCATTAACAGGTAACAAAAAAACAAATTCATTTTACATTTATAACATTAGGATGAGCAATAGTTTTATTAGTTCCTTTACGTTGACTCTTAGATACTGCCCGCACAGTACGCCGGATTTTCTCCTTGGGGCCCTGAAACCCAGCCGACTGTGGTTCTGTTGGGAGTTAGTTTGCCATCTCCTCTCTTTAAGAGTGAAAAAAAAATCATTATCTTTTTTATACTTATTTTTTTTTTTATGTTTACAAAAATTCACATCTCTCGAATTCAACGATAAATTAGTCACGATGGTATACAGGAGGAACCGCGTGGAGGTCGACCTGATAAGGTTTATTGATAGTAATGGGGACTAACCTCCCCATTACTTGGTTAGTTGAAGAAAAAATCTCTGAAACCCTGCTCTATGCGACCATCTAGGCTCTATAGTATGGGGGTTAATTCCCTGTCGATCGCGACCTATACGATGGTAGAAGGTGGGCTTGGGCATCATATTGAACTTTTCCTAGATTCCTCTATTGCTGGATATGTTGCTTATTATATTAACATTCAGGATACTTTTACCTAATTCACGTGGGCAGTGTCGTGGATAGCTAGTGAGAAATAAGAGGCACTGTTTACATTCGAAGAATTCTTTGCCAAGTTGCGTACGTGTGTTGTACCGCGACAATAAATCAAAAATACACTGCGGTAATGGACTGCAGGATAAAGCACGTGATAGTTCGGTGCAGGCCGCTGGCGCGGATCCAGATCACTACAGTCGGGCCAATTTCAATTTTATTTCACTATTGTAAAGCTCAATTTTAATCGTCACTCTTTTTCACCCAGCACTGTATACTTCCAGCTATCTCCAGTTCGTGATTCTAGTTTGATCCTTTAATCCGATTCAATAAAGTTCATAATTCAAACCGGTGGTCGCGCGACAGTTTGTTTGTTTGTTGTGCGTCGTAATTGAAGTTTCGTTTCGCTTCCTACTTCAGATTTGTTTGATATAAAGGACGCGTTTGTTCGCGAGACTTGATGCTGCTGTTGGGACTTTATGGTATTTATATAGTTTGCTTTTAACTGGCGAAAGTTTACTGAAATAACTAACGATGCAGTAAATGTTTATTTCATTTTGTTGATTTTTATTCAAATTTATTCGACTTTTTTTATAGTAGAGGCTTAGTTTAATGCCTTGTTCGTTTTTGTTATAAAGTGCACTGCTGTTAGTTGTTTATGTCGTGTCGTAATAGGTAGTACATATTGGGTTTCACATTCGATTCTCTGTTCGGAACAAAACCTACTTGTTGTAGCAATGAGCCACTGGAGGCACTAGGTGTAAACATATAGGTATATCAAGATGGAAGAATTACAGTGTAGAGAGGTATAACACAATAGACCTGGAGAAAGGGATTGTTGGTAACCTGATGTAACTGCTCCATAGCTGTCAGTATACTATATCAGATGGACCTGTCCCATTCATGTTTATACCGTAAAGCAGTTGTGTTTGCATGGCTGTGTTTCGGTATATTTTTTTAATGGGTGATAATGGTATGGTAACCCCGCCTGCGCTATTGGTATACACTGGGAGGCACCAGTGAGGGATGACAGATAAAGATGAAAGTAGGTCAGTTAGCCCATCCTGATGAATTAAACTAGAATTAGTCACGATGGTTTCCAGGGGGAACCACGTGGAGGTCGATCTGACAGGGAATATTGTTAGTAATACGGCTATTTGACTCCATTACTAACAATCCTTTTCCCCCCGCTGTGTTTCGGTTTGAAGGTGATTTTATATGGCAGTGAATTTACTGGGTACAGAGGAATAACATCTGAGTCCTCAGGAATGGCAACGCATGGGGGGAATCATGGGCGAAACAGTATACTGTTATGTCCATAGTACTGCTCATGTCTATAGGCGACGGTTACCACTTTCCATCAGGTGGGCCGTCAGCTTGTTTGCCATTCTAAATTGTATAAAAAAAATAAAAACTTTACGCGGTTTCCCCCAGATCATATCGTGGTTAATAATTGTGAAATTTGTCACGATCGGCCAACTGATCTGCTTCATCCTCAACCCTCACTATCATTCCTCTGGTGCCCCGTCTGTGTATACCGATAGAGCAGACAGGCTTACTATTTTATTTCTACCCACTACAAAACCACAATAGCCCTCAGGACTGGCAACGAATGAGGTGTGTCGCGAGCATTACAGTGTATACTACAATGTGTGTGGTCCATCAGACGGGCCGTCAGCTTGATTACCATTCCAAGTTGCAAACCTAATGAATCTCGTTACGGAGTCCGGCTACTCGCAATCGGTCCGACCCATGTGCTCTCCGAGAGTTTCCAACGTGGCGTGTATCGCCCGCGGCATCTTTGTTTTTTTATGATGGAATGGTAACCCCATCCGCGCTATCGTATACACCGGCGGGACACCAGTGAAGTATGATAGGTGAGGAGGAAGTGGAGGTCAGATAGCCCATCGTGACGAATTCAACAAGAATTGTCCACGATAGGGCATAGTGCTAGCGATGGGGCTGTCAAACTACATTGCTAACAATCCCCCCCCCCCCCTCCCCCCCGCATGCTCGCGGCATCTGCGCGCTAATGCGATACCCACGCGATTCATTTAATGTATCGTATGTTTTGACAGTTGGGAAGTAAACACCGATAGTGGCATTAGTGTTACCGTGTAATTTTATTATATAATGCCACTTTGGTATGTATTTTAAATGTCTGGGTCTTGATTGTTTGAAATTTATGACTAGCTTTTGCCCGCAACTTCGTATGCGTGGATTTTAAACTAATAAAGTAGTCGATAAATTTTTATATTAGCTAAGAAACAAAACACCTGTACAGTGCTCGACGCAGTCAAGTTTTGATTTGTCGCCGCTTATCTCTATTTATGTTTGAGGGTAGTAGGTAGGTACAAAATACACAAAATTTACAAGTACTTTCATGTGTGAAAAAATTATATATATATTTTTTTATTGATATCAGACCCATTTTCGTCGCTGTACATTTTCAGTGATTCATGAAACATGTTGATTTTCAATAAGATAGAGCCAAGTGATCAGTCAATGTGTCGCCGCCACCGACGACAAATTTAGTGAGGTTTAAAAATAAAGTAGGTCATTTATATCTGTCGGCGCGGTGACAACAAAACGCGTAAATAGTACAATTACGCCATTATTGCTCGCGTGACGGGAAGTTACGTTACAACTTTTCTTTATTGAGGACCATGTAAGTTACCAGGATCGCAGTTGATTAGAAGAGGTGATGAGATTGAGTGATGCCAGCCCGTGAAGAACCTTTTTTTCGAGTATTTATGTTCATCTCAATGGTAACGGTCGATTTGTACTCCTAAATACCCTATCTGAGCTTACACCATACATACATTGAGCATTTTTTTTTATTTTAAAGTTATAGTATGTATTGGTAATGCAATTTGCTTTTGAATATTCTCACGAGGTTGTGTAAGACCATGATGAATGGATGCGTCAGTTTCACGAAAGAAAAAAAAAACATTAAAAATCATCGGAGCTGTCACCGTATTGATCAGTGCGATGACAGGCCTCGTCAGTGCGCTCGTCCTCGTTCGTTCATTCTTCGTTACCGTATTGATAAATTGCTGACGAGTTAATGACTTGCTGATGAGACGGGCTTAAATTATTCTGTTTATTTTATGGGATTTGAAGCTTGTTTATAAACGAACTCTTTTATTATTATTAAAATACTTAAAATTTAACTACTAATAGTATTTTGTATATATAAAAAAGTAAAATTATTTCTATCTGTTAAGGCAGTATGTGTAATATGTCTTTGCTATAATGTAGAAATAAAAAAATATTGTCTGGAAAAATATGGCGTAAAAAAAAATATACGGAAAATTATATCGGAAATTCGGCATTTTTAATTTTATATCAACCTCGGATTAAACACTATCAATTGCCCAATACTCGTAGTAGAAGCTGTGTTTAGTTTGTGACTAGATGACGCCGTGGCGCCGTCCAGTGGTATTTATTTATTAAGTAAAGCTACAGTTTATAGCATTTGTATTATTGTTAGTGGAACATGTTCGCCTGACGGAAATCATTCCTGTCATTTCTTTGTACAGTTGTAGTTAGTATATTTACGTTTTTTTTTTCAAGTAAACATTCGTTTTGTAATTCTTTAAATGTCTATAAATATATTAACATTATTCACCCATAAATTAAGGAAATAATCGAAACCTAAATTTGATGAAGTTGTATGGTTCTTTATTGAGATTCTGCATCCATCCACCTTTTGGCTATCTGTTATTTGTACTATCCCAGAAATTACATACGTACGCGTTTAAATGGGAAATAAATGTACCAAGTAGAAAGGTTACTTAAAGGACATGCGAACAGAGTAATTTTAATAAAAGTTTTTTTAAATGTGACCAAAAATTGTATGTAGAAACGAGAAACGTCTCAATTTATATTGTTTATTTGTTCGAGTTGTAAAAAATGCCATCACTTGTGTTTTGTCGGTATCAAATATGTCAGTCACCGGGCGTGTGTATTTGGTAAGAGCCATATATGGGTACAAAATTAAAAGCGAAATGTCAGTGTTGCGTGTAACGCACTGAGCAGTGGGATCGAGTCTATTTCTGAATCTATGAAAATATTCCTGTCCCATCGCTTGTTTATATCTTTGAATCGTAACGTCACAAGCGCCAACACACCGCCTTCGTACTTTAGACTTTACGGGTGTTGATGTACAGTGAAGATTAGTCTCCGCGAGTGTCGTTCCTAGTTTACACGGTGGGAATGAAATATTGTGCCGAACGTTGGGCGTCAGTTTCCCGGCCGGCATTTCCGTGAGTGTATGTTAGTTGGGTTGTTTGTTTGTGGTGGACTTGCCGCGACCGCGCCGCCCCTCGCTGTCAGAACTACAACTGTACAAATAAGAACTCGGCGCCAGAGTATGAATGCTCTGCTACCACGCTATAACCAGTGGCACCAGTTCACAGTGACCGTATTTTGTACCGTGGCCGCGAGTGATATCAGTAAACAGATAATAAATCCGTCAGCTTAACTATATCGACGTATTTCCATTATTTATTTTTATAAATTTGTACGTCACGTAATGGACGAATATGAC